CTTTCAGAATTTATATTCCTTTTGTCTGAAAAATGGCACTTGGACCAATTTGCAAGGTACCAAGCGGTAGAGTTACTTGAAAGGTAATAAGTATCCTGAATGCTCAGTGCGTTTCTCATTGCTCTCATGTGGTTACGCTGTGCATACTCTATGCCACTCATTCAAACAATGTATAACATTTTTTTTGCGTGTCTAGAGCTTTGTCTCTCTATTTAATTCAAATTAACAGCTATCTGTATACTCTTGAGTACACGCAGAATTGCTTTTCTTTAATTAGCAGAAGAGAACGGAGTTTTCTGAGCAATTGTGGTTTTTGTAGGTTTATGATCAAGCAAGTAGAACAAATCTGTGAGTCCTCTAGAGAGAATGTTAAAAGTCGTGAACAAGGACCAGGCAGCAGCTGGAGCTCTCTGAAAGATAAAATATATGACACGTTTGTCCTGCGACTTGTGTCGTGCATTCAGCTTGCAAGCAAACTGTCCTTACACTATAATGTAAGCCAGCTAAACCTTTTCCCTGTAGCGTTTTTTTAGCAGCACAGTAAATTGTGTAGCATATTAATCTCTCAAAAAATAGGTTTCCTCTCCGAAAGGCAATAGTGATGACGAAATGCAAAGGCTATTGAAATGGAGACCGAAATCTCTTCCGCTTAGGGCAGATGAATTGTCACTCATCAAGTAACAATTTGTCAGGAAAGGTTCCGGTACTGGGGAAAAAAGTACAGGCAGTGGGGAAAACTCAGCCTGTGGTTGTCGAAAATTGTATGGCTAGAGAGGGTTCACGCCTGCCTGGGCAAGGTTTGTGGAGTAGAGGAAACCTACGGGAAGGAAGGTCTGGGCTGGATTTTTCATGCTAGCTTAAAAGACAAGTTAGGCAGCTGGGTTGGCGGGCAGCATCGCCCCTGCAGTGGCTCCTGCTTAAATTCAGTGAGAGGAGTAAAGCAAGAAAATACTGAGCAAGTTCTTAGCGAGTGCCTTACTGCCTAGAAGATAATTTGTCTTTTTTTTTTTTCCCCCTTCAGATAGTTAACAGTGACACAGCTTTAAAATTTCTGCAATCTTTAAAATACTCGTACACTAAACAGGAATTGCTTGAGTCAGAGCTTGCAGTTTTAAAAACTCTGCACTTCGAGATCAATGTGTCGACTCCTTTGGCTTACGTGGAATTGCTTCTAGAGGTTTTAGGTAAGAGTATTAATAGGAGAGAATGGGAAATAATCTTTTTAAAAGTGTGATTAGAGCTGTTACTGCTCCAAACCAAAATGTCTCACATCACAGATTTTTGCATACTGTGAAGGCAAATGAAACTTTTCAGGTTGTCCAGGGCTTTGCTTTTTGGATGAGAACTCTGTCCTTACAAGAATCTGATGAATGTTGTTGGACAGCCAGTCGTGACTCAGCCAGTAAAAGGTTAAGAGTCTAAAACCCCCAAAACCTAGTGTAAGGCCATGTTTTCTATGACGACTTCACCATTTTCTGTGCCCGGGTCTGACAACCTGAATTTCAGAATGAGTGAAATTATACCAAGAGTGTGAAAGCCTAAGGAGTGAGAAGGCCTGTGGCGTTTGGAAACAAAGGGCAGTCGTCACCAGAAATCTTCATCCCTCGCTTACAGTAACTAACGTGCCTTTCTAATTCAGTTTAATGACTCAAAGTGTATGGTTGATTACGTACGACTCTGTGCTAGGACATAACGGCTGCCTGCTTCCTGCAAAACCATTACATCAGATGTGTATGCAACTGCTAGACTTCTCCTATCTCACCAGAGATGCCATCTACGACACTTTGTTGAAGATTGCCGTCGAAAATTCAACACCAAGCAAACTGCAGATGTAAGTAGCTTACCTGACTATTGCTTAAAGTAACTGTTCGAAATTAAAACCCTAAAAAACCCCTAAGAAACAGTAGCATAATTCCCATTATGCCATTTTTGGGGCATGTTTTAAAAAATTTGAGGGGCTTTCAGCATTGTTTATTCATTTTAATATACCAGTTCGAAGCCCTGTGTTTCACATTTGCTAGGAAATTATTTAAGTTGATCATAAAAATCCAGCATTGGCACTGTCAAAGTTAACAGCATCAGGCTTTATTTGGACTGAATAAGGTAACACGGCTGTAGGCCGTATAGCAATTACAGAACTAGGTCCTTTTGAAGGGTAAAACTAGCATCCTGTCATACCAGAAGACATTTTTACTTCTACAGAGCAAAGTTTTTGGCAGTAAAGGAAGATTTCATGCTCTTGGCTGTTGGGATCATCAGCACAAGCGTGTTCATATTAAACCCTGGGCAGTGGAAGCAGGTACAGTCGCTTCTAAACACGTTAGCTCTACGTGAAAAAACTGCTGAGGCTATTTATATATTTAAGCACAGCAAGAAGACAGGTAGACTCTACTGGGAGTGGCATGAGGGGGGTGGCATCTTTCAGGTTTTTTAGCAGGAAGCACGTGTACTTTTGTAAGAGTGTTATGAGGGTACACGGGCAGTTCCACAGGAACTGTCCTCTAGCTTCAGCCTCTTTACAGCCAGAAGAAACCCACGCAGACGTTGTTCCGCTGACAGGCAGAGAAGCAATCCTGTGGGACAACTTTCTGCCCAACCTACTACTGAATACTGTAACAAACAGCCTATTGCAGATAGTAGCTTTTTCATTTTACTTCTTTAGTACAAACAATTACATTAAGAAAAAGGGGCACAAAATGAAACAAAAAAAAAAACCCCAAACAAGCAAGCGAGCAAACAAAAACCCAACCAAATAAAAACCATACCGAGAGGCTTCAACTTTTGTTGAAGTGTACCCATGCAGCACTATTATTCTCATTAGATTTGGAGGGTTAAGAAGTCTGTCTGTGAACTAACACCTCGTAGGCACTGTAAGTATCTATCGGCATTTTTACATTTTTTTTTTTTTTTTTTTTTAAGGTTGTAGAGCATTTAAACTGTATCACTGGCATTACTTCACAAAGTATCTTAGAA